TTCGTCTGGACCGGCCCAGCGCCCGCGCCCGGTTGTTACCCGCTGGGGGCGCTGGGCCCGGGCGCCTGGTGCCGCGAGGCGGGGAAGTGCTACCGTAATGACCGAATAGCAACCAACCCCTGGGGCCTGGCGCTCACGGCTCAGAACAGTTACATGCCCCGGGGTCACGGAGAATGGCACCTTCCTGGCATCCCTCTCTGGAGCCCTCCTCAGGCTGCCGGCAGCCGGCCGGGGCGGGGGAGGGGGCCTTGCTGTGGAGCTGGGCAGGGGCTGGTTTGCGTTGGCTCCGCGGTGGTTGAAGCTCTCTTGGCTTCCTTCCAGTGCCCGAAGCCCGTGATCGCCGCTGTCCACGGAGCCTGCATCGGAGGAGGTGAGGCCCATCTGGCTGGGAATGGGGGGGCTGTGTTAGTTCAGGGCTCCTGGGGGCACAGCAGACTGCGAAGCCTTTCACCCTCCCCTGGCCTAGGCTCTGCCTCTTTCTGGCCCCGCTTCCCCCAAAGCCCTGCCCCTGCTTTGCTCCCATTGCACAACCCGAGGGGCTGCTGGGGGGTCTGGCCTGGAATCTTTTCCATTCGTGTGCAGAATAAATGTTCTGTGTGCACCATGGCACGTGTGAGCGTGCACCACCTGTAGAAACAGAAGTCCCAGTGGGGGGGGTCTGCCAATCAGCTGGGCAGCAGTGTGATCTCTCCTGAGGGGCCGCACGAGCAGCGGCCGGGGTAGGCCCTGCCGCGACGGTGGGAAGGGGCGCGCCCCCGCCCGATGCGCCCTGCTCTGGGAGAAGGCTGAGGAGCAGAGCCGGCTTTGCGGCGCCGTGGTGAGTGCTGCCTCCGCACCAGGGCCCCGCAGCTAACGGGGATGGGGCACAGAGGGGATGGGATGACGGCTGCAGAGCCCCCCAGAGCTTGCCTGTTAGGGCCCTGCTTGCACGCTCCCCCGGGCTGTTCCCAAGCAGAGGCATCCAGGGCTGGGTTGGCCGCAGTTCCAGCCGTGGGGCGGGGGCACTTTTCCCTCTGCAGGGCGCCATGCGCCCGGCCACAGCGGGGAGGCCTTGTCTGGCTCTCCCGGGGCTCCTGGCACCAGCAGGACCAGCAGGACTGTTGCCTTGCAGGCGTAGACCTGATCTCTGCCTGCGACATCCGGTACTGCACGCAGGACGCCTGGTTCCAAGTGAAGCCGCAGTTCCAGCCGTGGGGCGGGGGCACTTTTCCCTCTGCAGGGCGCCATGCGCCCGGCCACAGCGGGGAGGCCTTGTCTGGCTCTCCCGGGGCTCCTGGCACCAGCAGGACCAGCAGGACTGTTGCCTTGCAGGCGTAGACCTGATCTCTGCCTGCGACATCCGGTACTGCACGCAGGACGCCTGGTTCCAAGTGAAGGTGCGTGGCGGAGCGGGGCCGCGCGGGGGCGCTGGCGCTGGGCTGGCGTTGGCACGTCGCCGTA